CTATATGTCTGTAAACGATATGTATAATTGTTCTTCATGCATTAACATTTTGTTTATCACACTGTAAAGAGTGTTTTGTAACTTGTTTTTCCCACCAGCATTAGATCTTTTGTGTTTGCCACTGTAAGGAAATGCCACTGTCTATGACTTGTGTAGCCAGTTTCTGCTTGATGGACATTTAGGCTGTTTCCACTCTGTTACTATTAATCAGTACAAAGGGAACATCCTTGTGTATTTCTCCTCCTGCACATAAGTAAAAGGCTCTGTTGGCTGGATACTTAGAAGTGAAACTCCTCGGTCGTGGGCTACATGCATCTGCAACTTGCACTAGAAGCTATTAAATTATCCCCCACAGTGATGGTGGCAGCAGATGGTCCACCAGCCAGGAACCAAGTTCCCAGTGTCCTACACCTGTGCCAACACTGGTTTGTTGCCACAGGTTATATTTGCTAACAAAATGGGTATGGAAGAGCATCTTACTATTTCTTTAATGTGCATTTCCTGATTTTAATGAGCGTCACAGTGTTTTCATACATCTACTTGTCAGTGAGGTTTCTTCTCCTATGAACTTCCTGTTCACAGTCTCTGCCCACCCTTCAGTCCACTATCAAGTGGCCAGAGTTCTTTTCATGAGCAGACACCAAGTCTCGGTTAGTTCTATACATTGCCCTGTCTTCTCCTGCTGTGGCATTTCTGGTTTTGTGATGACATCTTTTATCAGCTAAGAGCTTGAATTTTAATATAGGAAAATTAATTAACCTTATCTTTTGCGTGCCTTGTTCAAGAAGTCCTTCCCGAGTCACGTGCTCAGCACAACAGTTAAGATGCCACATGGGACTGCTCCTGATTCGAGTTCCCTGGTCATGTGCACCTTGGGAGTCACAAGTGATGGCTTGGGTAGTTGGTTCCCTGCCAGCATGGAGACTCAAATTGGGTTCCTGGCCCACAGTTCCAGACACTGCTGGCATTTGGTACTGAACCAGTGGATGTTCAGAGCTCTCTCTCTCCCTGTCTCTCCCCCTCTCCCCCTCTCCCCCTCTGCCCCTCTGCCCCTCTCCCCCTCTGCCCCTCTCCCCCTCTCCCCCTCTCCTCTTCTCCCTCTCTCTCTCTCCATCTCTCCCTCTGTCCCTCCCTCTTTCTCTCTCTGTCTCTTAAAAAGAAAAAATGTCCTTCCATACCCCAGTGTCACAAAAATATAGTTTCCCCTAATATTAAACATTTTGCTTTTCAAATTTAGACACTTAATCCATTTGGAATTTATTCTTGTGCATTGTATGACATAGGGGATTAATTTTTAAATTTCCATGTAAATAACTGACTTTTCCAGGACCATTTATCTAATAATTTGTTGTTTCACCAGCAATTCATTATGGCATCACTATAGTATATAGTTTTAGAGAGTCAGGCTAGCTTTGCACTGTCTATTCTGTTTCTGGGTGTGGATGGCAGAAGCTGGGGTGGTGCCGGGGAGTGGATCAAACGGGGGCTTACGAGCCTGCACACAGCCTGAAGGTTGGGCCATCCTGCGCAAGTTCCCCTAGGAGCATCAGGGGCGCTGAACTTGCCTCCCCCCTGCTGGTGTGCAGGGAGCTTCAGCAGCGGGCTGGTCCCTTGGGGGATGCGTGCACCAGGAAAGGAGCATCTGCACACCTGGGAAGAGAGCCTTTACCTATCAGGGGCTGGGGCAGCATGGGGGGGGGGGGTCATGAACACAGCACAGGTGAAAACATGAGGACTGAGAGGGAGCTCTGGGACCGGCACCTAATGGGGGTTCTTACAGCAGGAGCAGCAGCAGCAGCCTCGCCAGGCAGAACCACAAATTCCCTCCCATGCAGCACCTGCTCTCCACGTACTCTTGCCCTAGCCCCTCTCCTCAGCCCAGGGCATGGGTGGGAAATGCAGAATTGTGCCCAGCTCAAGCTACAGTGTCTTCCCTGGCCACTTCAGGCCCTCGGGGCTCCACTCTGAGCCTGCCTGCACCCCAGCCTTCTCACCCCTGCTGGAGGCCACCAGCCCTGCCTTGCTCAAGCCAGCCACATGGTCACGGTCCCAGCTGCCTTCTTCCTCCAGGCCTCTGCCCAGACTGTTCCCTGCCCTTACCTGACTCATTTCTCCCTAGCTCTCACCCTAGGGACCTACTGCCCCGACCTGACCTCTGCAGTGAACACAGGACCCACCCCACTGGGTGCTCGATGACTGCAGCACCCTAGCCTACTTCTGCGCAGTCCTTGCCCACTGTGCCCTCCCTGATCACCTGGCAGCCCTCACAGGGATCTGCTCTGCTCACCATGCATAGGAGAGAACTCCCTCCCTGGCTGGGAGAGACAGCCACTGGAGCACCACAGTGCAGCTCCCTAGGGGTCGAGGAGGTGCAGAGGTGGGGAAGGGCCTCCAGTTACCAGAATTGCCGGCCCCATTGTGTGCAGGGGCCACTTACAGCCTTTAAGCTCAAAGGGAAACCCAACTCCACAGCCCCACTTGCCACATGGGCTTCTCAGATGGCTGTGATCCAGCTTCCCATCCATTTCACAGTGGCAGCCTCCTGCCCCCACCCCCAGCAGCCAGCACCTCCCCCTTTGGATGGAAGTGAGGTGGGCTGGTCAGGACACCTCCTTTTCTTCCTCCTTCCTCCATTGCCGGTGGAGAGCCTGGACTCCGCGGATTCTAGACTGAGGACATGCTAGCACCTCTTTGCCTATCCATTCCCTCGCTTCCTTGTACCCCTTCTCCACCCTTGCCCTGCTCTAGTGAGAGTTGAACACTTGCTCTTGACAATGAGACAACCCTCAAGGCCTGTCCTTTGAGAGGCTGTACATGGAGCTTGGGGGACTGAGGGCCTGTGTGCACCCCAGATCCACTGCTATGTTCTCCTCCAGTGGAGCTCTGTGGCCCAATCCCTGCCACCAAAGCACCTCCCATTGGAGTCAGCTCAAAAGCTTCTGAGTACCGCAAATTGCCTTTTCCAGGGAGCAAACAATTCATCTTGGACGTGGAGACAGATTCGCCGGGCCAGAGAGAAAAGACTTCTTAAATTTGAAAGCAATTTCCAAATTGCTCTCCCCAAAGGTTATAGCAATTCTGTGCCCCCAGCCACGCATGTGAATGCATTTTTCCCCACAGTCTTGGAACCCCACCTCTTAAACTCTTTCATCTGCCAGTTTGACAGATGAAAAATAATATCACATTGTTGTTTTTTTTTTTCCTCTTAAGTTTCTCTAGTTTCTCTTCAAGTTAACGGGATTTTCATGTTTATTGGTCCTTGCAAATCTTCTCCTGGGACTTGGCCATCCGTAGTCTTTGTTTTTCGTTTGCTTTTCTGTTTCTAGTTTTTTTCTTTGCACTTGGTTTTTTGGCGTAGAGATGTTTCTCAGTTGTTTTTTGTCATCATGTCAGTTTATCTTCGGGGCTTTCTGCCTTTGGTGATGTTCCCGAAAGACCTCTCCAGCTCGCACAGGCCTTTTCTCCTTCATTCTGTTCCCGTCACCCCCGTCACCCAGCTGTCTTGTCAGATCCTTTTCCTACTTGTGTCTCCTGTTGGTCTCCCAGTTGCCTCCCTCTGGCGAGGACGAGGACGAAGCAGTAATCGTGCTGCACCTTGAGCCAGACACAGGCGGTAGAGATCGTTTAGGGACCATCATCTCATTTCCCTCAGCAAATCTACAAGGTCCTGCTGTCTTCACACTGGGGAGAGGAAATAACGATAGTCGAGCATCACTCGCCCCAAAACCCCAATTCTAAAATGCTGCAAAATCTGAAACGCTGTGAGCACTGCCACGAGCATCCCACACCTGACCTCGTGTGATGAATTGCAGCCCAAATTAGTGCATTAAAAATACTGTAAAGAATTACTTGCAGGCCATATGTATGAGGCATATATGAAGCACAAGTAAACTTTGCGTTTAGACTTGGGTTTCAGTCCCAAGCTATCTCATTATAAATATGCAAATATTTCAAAATGCGAAAATATCCCGAACATCTCTGGCCCCAGCATTTCAGACAAGGGATGCACAACCTGTGCTTTTTGCCAGTGAGATCAAGGCAGGAACGGCTGCTTGCCCCCTGGTGGCCCTTCTCTCCTCCTTTCCTAACAGCCACATCTTGCATTTGAACTGGGCACCAGGCCACCTGGACTGGGCACCTGACCATCTGGAGGAAACCCGTTTCCCTGCCTTACAGCCGGGTTTGGCCCACAGCAGCTTCCAGGAAACTTCCTTGTCCTCCCTTCTCCTTGGCTCTGCAGCCTGGAGCCTTCTTGATGGCTGCCCGCATTGGACAGAGGAGAGGAGGGCCACAGCCTGGAGGGTGGATGGAGGGCAGGAGGGCTGTGGAGACCGTGCAGGGAGCTCATGGCGATGGTCTTGGGCCATTCCTTTGGGCTTTTGAGTAAGGCACCCTCATTTTGAAGCTGCCTAATCTAATCCTCATACAGAGAATTAAGTGCAAATACTGACAGTTCATTGAGAGCTGCACACAATAGAAATACAGTCAAAATTGGTGGTTCCCTGCAGCACACAGATCACCAGCCAGATGACATCTTTGAAAAAGATCACATTTACATTTGCTGCAGAAACACATTTGTCTCTTGGTATCCAGGGGGATTGGTTCCAGGACCTCCCACAGATACCAGAATCTGAGGATGTTCAAGTCCCTTCTGCGAAACCATGTAGCATTTGCACAGGACCTGTGCACATCCTCCCATATACCTTCAGTCAGCTCGGGTGACCTAATACAATGTAAATGCTAAGTAAATAGCTGGACTGTATTGTTTAGAGAATGACAAGGAAAAAGTATGCCCACGTTCAGTACGAATGCAATTTGCTTTCAGATATATTCAATCCATGGTTGGCTGGATCCACATATGTGGAATCCTTGGACCCTGAAGGACACGTGTATAACACAAAAATGGAAAACTCCATTATGAGTGACCTTAGAGACCAGAGAGCAGTGGCTGAATCTGTGTGATGGGCTGAGAATATGTCACCATCTCCTTTCCTACCCAGATCCACAAAATGACTGTTTAAAGTGTGAAGAGTCAAACAAATACATATTCCCCAAACAAGGACAACACTCAGCAAGCCAGAAAGTGCACTGGTTCCCTGAAAATCAGAGAAGAACTTGCTCCAATCAAGGTGGGAAACCACCCCCTAGGTAGGAATGCCCTAGGACATTTCAAGTGAAGACACAACCTGTGCCACTGAGCAGAACAACAGATTCGACTCACGTGAGAATTTTCTAGAGGGGCCAGGTTTAACAGAGCAATGAGAACAGGAATTACTTTATGATGTGGGAAAATTAGTATCCTCAGAGAGAAGGGAGGATATCACGGTAAAAACAAGAATTAGCTGTTCTGAAAAAGAACTAATTAGAGATTTGAGGAGGGGAAAATGCAATTATTAAAAAAAAAAAAAGAGGGCAACTTGTGCATGGGCTACACAGAGCAGAGGGTGAGGGGTTGGGGCAGGGCCCTGGCCGTGCAGCTTGGACACCAGTGTCCTGGGAAAGGCCCCTTCAGCACCCACACCTCATGGTCTCAAGCCCGCCTTCTGTGCCTTTGGTCTGGAGCTCCAGGTCAGTCGGGACTTGCTGGCAGGCAAGGGAAGTGAACTGGCAGATGGAAGCCGAGAGGGATTTGGTGAAATTTCTGGAATGCATGGCCAGCTTGGGAAGAAGGTACCTGGGAGCATCTGGCCCAGGAGGACAGGCTCTTGCCCTTTCTTTTTCTCAGGGGAAGTGTGCCTTCCCCAGGACAGGGCTGTGCGTGCTGTCTTCCTGCTCTCTCCTTGGGGTGCAGGATGAATGCTGACTCCTTGTGCCTGCCAGCCTTGTCCCAGACACAGAAACACCACCAGCCTCTGTCCCTCCCTTTTCCTTCCAGCTCTGCTTCTCTTCCTGCAGCCGCTGGCTTGAGCATGAGGCCTCTGTGTGTGTAACCTTGCCAGCCAGACTGGGCCCCGAAGCTGAGGCTGTGCTGGAGCTCAGACCACCCTGGAGACCCCCATAGAGGGAGATAACCCTCAACCCACTTGTCCACACTCCACACAGCCTGTTGCTTAGTCAACAGAGTGTTCTGCGCACAGAAGAGGAACTCAAAGGGCAAAGACCGTATGAGGTTTAAAAAAAAAAAAAAGATTTATTTTTTTGAAAGAGTTACACAGAGAAGGAGAGGCAGAGAGAGAGCGGTCTTCCATCCGATGGTTCACTCCCCAGTTGGCTGCCATGGCCGGAGCTGCATCAGTCCAAAGCCTGGAGCCGGGAGCTTGTTCTGTGTCTCCCATATAAGTCCACGGGCCCAAGGACTTAGGCCATCTTCTACTACTTTCCCAGGCCACAGCAGAGTGCTGGATTTGAAGAGGAGCAGCCAGGACTAGAACTGGCGCCCATATGGGATGCCAGCACCTCCTCAGGTGGTGGTGGTTTTACCTGCTGTGCAACAGCACCGGCCCCCATATGAATTGTTATTATTATTATTATTATTATTATTTAACAGGTAGAGTTATAGACAGTGAGAGAGAGAGACAGAAAGGTCTTCCTTCCGTTGGTTCACTCCCCAAATGGCCACTACGGCTGGCACTGCGCAGATCCAAAGCCAGAAGTCAGGTGCTTCCTCCTGGTATCCCATGCAAGTGCAGGGCCCAAGCACTTGGGTCATCCTCCATCGCCTTCCCGGGCCACAGAGGAGAGCTGAACTGGAAGAAGGGCTGCCAGGACTAGAACCCGGCGCCCATAGGGGATGCCAGTGCTGCAGGCGGAGGATTAATCAATGCATGGCGCCGGCCCCAACCCCATATGAGTTTTAATTTGATAGATTTGTTCTTCCCCAAAGGCTATATCAGTTAACATCCATCCATTGACAAAGGAGTTTTCATACATTCAGCACATATTTTTCTTTTTTCTTTCTTTAGAAAGCTTTTATTTAAATATAAATTTCATAGGTACAGCTTTAGGAATATAGTGGTTCTTCCCCTCTACCCACCCTCCACCCCCACTCCTGTCCCACCTCCTGCTCCCTCTCCCCTCTCCTATCCCGTTCTTCATTAAGAATCATTTTACGGAAAGGAAGACCTTTCTGTCTCTCTCTCTCTCACTGTCTAACTCTGCCTATCCAAAAAAAAAAAAAAAAGATTCATTTTAAATTATCTTTATATACAGAAGAGCTACTCTATACTAAGTGAAGATTTCAACAGTTTGCATCCACAAAGACACACAAAATATAAATTACTGCTTGAATACAAGTCTTACCATTAATTCTCATAGTACAACTTATTAAGGACGGAGGTCCTACATGCGGAGCAAGTGCACAGTGACTCCTGTTCTTGATTTAAAAATTTAAAAACTTATTTATGACGTCAGTGATCACCTGAGGCTCTTGACATGAGCTGCCTATGCTATGGGAAGCCTTTTGAGTCCACAGACTCCGTCATTATTTAGACAAGGCCATAATCAAAGTGGAAGTTCTCTCCTCCCTTCAGAGAAAGGTACCTCCTTCTTTGATGACCTGTTCTTTCCACCAGATTTCACTCACAGAGATCTTTCATGTAGTATTTTGCCACAGTGTCTTGGTTTTCCATGCCTGAAATGCTCTCATGGGCTCTTTAGCCAGATCTGAATGCCTTAAGGGCTGATTCTGAGACCAGAGTCAGAACGCAGTTTTCTTTCCACAACAAACTGGTGCCAATCTTAGGCCAACCCTCTTTGCATCTGACTGCTGGTAACCTTGGTGGTGAGTTAGAAATGTCCCTGGAAGTGTCATGGTTTTACCTTCTCTGTTGTTCTGTGCATACAAGGGAAAGGTTTGATACCTTTCTGGTGTATCATTCCTGGGCTTGGTAGGTACTGACCGTTGCTAACCTTAACAACACCTTGTGGGCTTAAAGTCCACTGTGATGTGCATAAACATAGGCACACAGAACATCAGGTTTCTGAGAGGTGGAGCTCAGACCTGGTGCTCTCAAAGCTGCCCAGGTGCTGCAGTGTGGGTGCCAAGAGAGCCGGAGTCAGCCCCGCGTTCCTGAGAAGTCACTTCCCCCGGGGCACTGCCAAACAGCTGGGCCCTCCCAGTGTCTGGAGCTTTTACCTGAACCTGTTCCAGTCACCAGGAAGGGTCCTGTCCACCTTCTCCCCACACCCATCCCAGCCTACCCCTCCATGACTGCTCCATTTCCACACTGAGAGGAGCTTTCTCCATGCCCCAAACACCTTCATGTCTGTAGTCACTTTGGAGCTTAGCTGCGTCCATCCTCCCCATAGCCACAGCCACAGCCACAGCCACAGCCAGGACGTCTGTGGCTTGGTAAGTCACAATGCTCACTGCATGGGATCTGCCAAGGCTGGGCATTGTGCAGGTGTCACCCACATGAGCCCCATTTTTTGAGGTATTGTCCCCTGCCCCATTTCCTGGATAAGGAAGCTGAGACTCTACATAGTAAGTTGCCAAAGCCCCCTCCCCCAGCTTGTAAGGGAAGACCACTTCTGGGATTCAGGTTCCAGCCCCCCTAGATCTGCTGTGGCCCTACTGTGGCTTCTCAGCTCTGTTATTCACCTTGGGTGTCACAGGGACAAAAGGAAAGCCCTGACGGCATGTGTATGTGTGTGAGAGAGCGAGCAAGCGAGAGAGAGAGTGAGCACGCTCTGGCTGCCACAACAGGGGCTTAAACAACACAAGTCTGTGTGCACCTTTTCTGGAGGCTGCATGTAAGACCCAGGGGCCAGCAGGGGTGGTGTCCTCCCCTTGGCTTGCAGATGGCCACCTTTTCACTGTGCACTCACATGTGAGGGGAGATGGGGCTCCCTGGCATTTCTTGTAATAAGGATGCTAAGCCCTCATGACCTGGCTTACCCTTCATTACTTCCCTGGTTCCCCGACCCCATCTACAGCCATGCTGGGGTCAGGGGGCCACATGACTGCACATGCAGAATGACCTGTTTGACATTCCTCAAGTCATACCTGGCAGGTGACCAACCTGCTCAGATGCCCTGGGAGTTCATGGTTCCCTAACTGGTGTCAGGTCCACGCATGCTGGCCATGCAACAGAGGCCAGCAGACAGTGAGGTTGGCCCTGCCTGGCCAGGGCAGGCAAGAGGTCACTTCCGTGGCATCAGGCCCTCTTGGCTTTGGTCTGATGTCTGTCTGGTCTTTGGGTGCCTCAGCTGCCTACCTGTTCTAGTTCTCTGCCTCAATATCTGTCTAGCCCCCTGTTAGCAAAGGCCTGCACATGGCCATGGCCCTCTCCCCCACCCAGCCCAAAGCCCTGGTCACGCTCCAGGTGCCTGGCCTCTCCACCCAACACATCTGCCCCAAGCTTTCTGCCCTAGCCACATAGTAGCTGGCCCTGCTGGCTCTGATACCTGGCCCCCCAGACAAGACTACACTGACCCCCACTGGCTGTGTGTCCACTAGGTACATCTCCTTGCTACACTGAGCCTCACTTTTTCCCTCAGGAAAATGGGGGGTGCCTGCTTCTGCCTCATGGAATTGTGCTGGAAGGTTCTCTGCCCGTGGCAGAGTGCTCCGGGCTGTGTGCCAAGGCTCCTCATTATCCAGTGGGCTCTGATCTCCCTCCCAGTGCAGGGTCCCCAGAGACCCCAGGTTTCTGAATTGCATGGCAGGCGGTCAGGCCTGCAAAGAGGGGAGGGCACTTGCCAAGGAAGGGAGAGCCGGTAGGAGCGGGGCTATGCTAAGGGCATCTAATGACTCCGGCCAGGCAATTATTTTTAATGAGTGCAGCTCCCCCGCAGGCTAAGCGGCCTGGGGCAGCCGCGCAGCGGGGACTGTCAGACATGTCCAGTGGATGGGTCAGCACCCGCTGCGCTGCACCCACTCCGGCCTCTCCGGTGTTTTAAAGGAGATGATTGTTCATGGAAAACAGCGTCCAGAGCCATAGTGAGGGACTCTACAAACCTCACAGACACGGTAGCAACAAAGCAGCTCCCAGGGCCAGTATCTGGCCGGGGCAGCTCCCCAGGCTGACCTCAGGGTTGGGGGGGGGTGGTTCCTCCAGTGTATTTCGAGCCCCCAGCACCAGGGAGGTGGTAAAGACAGCATTGAACCACTGAGCCCTTCCTCGGGATGGCCACAGCAAAGAACTTTGTTCTGCAGAGGGATCCACGGTGACTGAGTGAGGTCTGGGAACCTCCTGGCTTTGCTGGAGTGGATGTTAAAACACCCGTGCCCACAAAGTGCAAATCCTGACAGAGGATTCAGCAGGACCGGGGAAGGCCACAGACTTCAGAATGCAGAGAATTCCCAAGTCAAGGCCCGTTGGTTAGAAGGGCAGGGGCATCTCGCTGCAGAGCCCCCAAGAGCCGAGGTGTGCAAGAGAGGAAAGCAGCCACCTCCTTGGAGCTGAGCAGGGTCTCGGGCCCAGGGGAGGCTGCATTTGGCGGATGTGCGAGCACAGCTCTGTGGGGCATGCAGCCACGCTAGCAGGCGTCCCATGGATGGAGCCTGAGCTCAGTGGTTTGGTTCTCCCAGCTCCCAGCAGACTGCTGTGAATTGTGGATGTGAGGGGCAGGACTGGAGCTGTAGCCCAGGCGGGGAGGGTGAGGCAGGGCTGGCCACAGGGAGGAGAGGGGCAGGATGGAGAAGCCTTAGAGGCTCCTTGGAGATCCCTCTTCTGCCTCTTTACCAAAGGCTTTGCCTGGTCCAGCTGCACCTCCCCCGCTCCAGGCCAGCCCTGGGACTTCAAGGACAGCCAGGCTGCAAACCGTTTTCCCTGGGAGGCTCCCTCCCACGGTGCTGATCTTGATTTTCCTCTTCCTTTGCTCCCTTCAGGCTCTTTGCTCACAGCTGGAGCCACAGGAGAAGGGATGAGGGGGTGCGAGCTCCTGCGCCACACAGTGGCTCTGGAAGCAGTTCAGCTTCCAGAGTGTAGCTGACCACCCTGACTTGGACTCCTGAACCCAGATGTGTCCTGACCCCTATTCCTAGCTACATAGACCCTGACTTTGACCCCAGGGCAGCCATGTTCGGATTCTTAACCTCAGCCCTCAGTGACCCTTTAACCAACCACATGGACATCTGGCACTAGGCAGACTCTGAGTGCTCTCCCTGGCCCCAGATCAAGCCACATTTTGGTCATTGCTGAACCTGGCCTTGATACAAGCACAGTCTGACCCCAGTGATGCACAGCACAGCCAGTGACCCTTCTCAGAATGCTGGAGGCAAGCCTGGCTGAGGGAGCCTGGATTCCACCTCTCCCTATGTGGAGCTTGTTGCAAGGCATGGTGGGAGCTTCCAGCATTCTGTCTGGAAGCAGGTGCGGCTGTGCCCATTGCACAGAATACTCCTCGCTGCCAAGTTGCTAGGTGCCCTTGGGGAGACTCCATTTGCTCAAGTGTGAAAACAAAGCCTTGGGGGTTCTCAGGTTCTTACAAGCAAACAAGTGCTCTGGCAGCTTGCGCCAACGTGGATCAATTGAGATAATGCATTTAAGA